AGTTTTTTTTTTTGGTTGGGGGGGGGGCACAATTCATCATAATAAAAGAAAACAGGGAAACCATAATACTCTGTGTAAGCCTTGAGCAAACTAGGTGTTGGAAGGGAAAATAGAATTTGTACAATGTTACACTCTTGCTTCAGGGACTTGCATACTTGGCAGTATGACGGTATTGATAGTACTGTTCTATGTCTAATCCACTTAGAATCTGGGAAAGTATGAATTTTTGCACTCTTTACTAATAGTTTGATCATTAGAATCAACTCTTTACATGAGAAAACAAGATTATAAAAGGCTTTTGCTGTTCAAAATGGACTATTGATGGATAAACGTTTAATAAAAGCAGACAGGGCCAACAGAGAGGATGCATGCTCCCTAATGAAAAGTATATTTTAATACAGATGATCCATAATGAAGACATGCCATATAAAGAAAGAGGTACTATGTACTATCTGGCATTGAAGCAAATCTTCAGTGTCTGTCCAGCTGAAACCTCATCTCTTGCTTCCCAACTGTTGTAACACTTGTTTTAAGCCTTTTCATCGTGATCAATGACTGCTGGCATTTTTGTTGTAAACCACGTTGTATTCTAATAATCTAAGGTGTTTCCTTGTGACTGGATATTTTGTCAGAAAAGTGTTTTAGAAAATAGTCATTTAAAAAAGAAGCTTACTCATGCTTCTTCTTTCAGGAGGCCATTTGTTGACCTTAGCATGACCATTTGCTCCCGAGGTCTTGTGAATTTAATTTCCCCTATCACATCTAAATATTTATGTTTATATAACCATAAAATGGACATGCCGTGATGAAATATGAATTGTTTAGTTGCTGATCATTTTTGGCAGAAACATACAGCTTAGACTTGGTTTAGTTTATTATTTTTGTGAATAGGATCTAAAAGTTATTGCCAAGATCTAAATAAGTTGGTTAGAGAAAAACATGTCAGCTAAACACTGTACAAGTTATGATGAACGTCTATTAGTAAAACCATTAAAAGTCTGTGTATAGATGGGTAAAATGTTAAAGACTGTTTCCTTTTTACCTTCAAAGTTTTCTTTAAAAGTCCATCTGATGTTTTTCTCAGGACATAAAGAGCTAATGGGACCTTGACAGGCAGGAACATAACATTCATGTTGCCTGTGTGTGAACACGTACCAGATTGTGGGAAAATGTGAAATATTAAAACTCTTAAAAGCAAGTCCAGAGATAAGCTTTGATATTCGTATGGTGAAAGTAAGTCATTGTGTATGTGAGAACGAGTGCTGTTGTGACATTATTGTATGTATCATCAAACATGAAAAGAGCGTGTCCTTGCAACAGGGGGTGATCAGTGAGCTGAGGGTGGTGGGAGACCCCAGTGCTGCTGCGAGACTCTGCGAAGAGGACGAGGATGACTCAGATATGGTGAGGGATAACTAGTCACATAGTGAAGGCATTGTCCTCCATATGAGGGAGATGCTGTATGTTAAAATTCAGAAAGGTATTTGACAAGCTGATTGTGGACACATTTAAATGTAATTAACTGTTAGCAAATCTCCTGGACAGTGATTGTCCAAAGTGAACCACTTATAACATTTAGCGCAGTTGTACATGTTTACTGACAAAATGTGCAAGGTCAGTCTTGGGATTTCAAGAACCAGTACTGAACCAATCAAATAAGAATTACAATTAATCTGAAAATATTTAAAATAATATTTAAATTGGTGATACAAGGGAATTAAATTTACTGAAGTGGGCATGTCACATCACTTATTACCAATAACCAGTAGTAAATCTGTGACAGATAAGAGCCTGAGCAAGCCCTTTCACCACTGACCCTGACCACCCACACACAAACACAGGTGTCTCGCAGCAGCCTTCAGTTGTTATTTAGTAAAACGTTGACCTCACAGCTGTTCAGCTTGCTGAGACCACCAAAACCTTGTCTTTACTGACAGAATAAGGTTCAAGACTTTACTCTGGTTACCGTCTAATCTTTAGATTAGATGGGGAAATCACATTCCGAGTGGAAATGACAGGTTTCCCATTTCAGGTTATCTCAAGAGATAACCTCACACACAGCTATTTGACAGTATGGAGAACACATTCATCACACTGAATTACCAAGAAGACTGGAATCTAACAGGTGTACACGGATGTACTTACTATAAATTTTCAGATACAAACACACAACATTAGTGCAGAGACATATAACACTGAGAAGCTGGCAACTTAACTAATGGATTACACCTTAATTTCCCCAATTAAAAGAGTTGTTGAGAATAAAATATCAACTTCATGATGGATCTGGCCAAGATGGTGGCATAAAAAGACAGTTACTGTAATAAAGACAACACATAACTAAAACCAGTATGTCACACGGAGCACAAATAGCACTGAGATTATGCCGTTAAAATACTTGTTTCAAGAGTTCATGAACTGACAAACACAGTTAAATCATGTTTTTCAGACATTACAAGCTCTGAATAAAACCAAAAGGAATATTTTGTAGGCTTGAAGTGAAACGTTAAATGAATGATTGGTCTCCTCAGGCTTCAGGCGAAGGAAGTGGCTATGAGTCCAGACCCAGACCCACAAAACCAGCTGTGGAGAAACAAAGATGGACGGTAAAGGACAACATTTGTTTATTATTAAGCTTTTTGTCATTTTTCACAAGGTCTGACAATATTTCTTCTTCCATGGAATTATTTTCCTGCCTTGATATATTATATTGAAATATTATTAGCTAGTTTTTCAGTTCCATCCATCCACTATATTGCTTATCCTGAAGAGGGTCACAGGGGTCTGACACTGGGAGAGAAGCAGGGTACACCCTGGACAGGTCACCAGTCTATAATCTGCTCTAGAACAATGTCTGCTTGATGTAAAACAATAAATCAAAGGTATATTAGAGAGTAGGAAGGAAAAGGAATGGATGGATGAAGAATGTTTTGTCCCCTAAAGAGGATTGGAACAGCCAATTACGTCTGACATACTGTACCTACCTTGCTGACAAAGATGATTACCAGCAGACCGTGCTTCTGCAAAATGAGTCATCCCACATATAGCACTTATGTCTCAAGTTACTCAGTACTCGAGATTAAAAACTGCTGAGTTGATGTCTGCAAATTGGAACTGGAACCGCCTCTGCCTTTTTACATAAAGAGCTGCCTCATGTCAGACTGGAAAGAAAATGACATATGTGCTCATTCAAACAGTAAGTAATTTTTGAGTTTTAATGAAATTTGATTTTGCTAATAGCAGCCCACATAATGAGTAAAGCTGGTTAGAAATGTTTTGAGCTTTTTTAATGATAGCTTCACAGTGCAGTCACCCATGCATGCTTTCTAAATCATTGACTACATCTGTTTCTGTTGTTCATTGACTTCCTCCATCTGTACTTTTGGCACTCTCTACACCTCCCCCCTTTGTTCTTCAGTCGTCTTCTCTCTGCTTTCTGTCTCTCTCATGTTCTCAGTCAGATTCACTGTCAGACACGCTCTCACATCCTCCCACCTTCAGCGATAGCCTCGTAGACTGAGATATGGTGTGGCACAACCTCCAGCCTGCACCACCACCACTGTGTGTGCATGCACTCCCCACTCACCACTCACCCTTATAGTGGAGAGTTAGAAAAACCATATGTCAGTTTGGACTCGATCTGATCCAAGTCGGAGGCCTCCCACCCCAAGGCTTTGTTATTCTGACTGGTTTCTCAATCAGCTGTGATCAGGAACTGACAGAGATGGAAAGAAGGCTGAAAAAGGAGACAGGCAGAACACAGTCAAAACCTCAAGTCGAAAGTCTCGTCATCATTACTGCCCTACCTAGTCTGCCTTGATGCTCTGTAACTTTTACAAGGGGCTTTTTTATCTGTTCATTAGGCATTTATTAGCATCATGCAATATGCAGTCTAATGTAAAAGACAACAGCTGTCTTGCTGATGATGTTTTTCCATTTGATACTGGTTCACAGAAAGTATACCCTGCACAATTGTCCCAACTGGTGCAATTAAGACAAGTCTGGGCAAAGACAAGTAAGAGAGAGAGAATCATATCAGTGAAACTCTCCTGGAATTCATGGTGATAGATGGCAGAGCTTAGTCAGGCATCCTTAAAAGTGTCACTGCTGGAATCCAAGTGTCCCCCTTCAGCATGAAGCCCAAAGAGGAAATGTTCCCAGAGCATAATTCTAACTTGAAGTGGTGTTTATAATTGGTCTGATTTCACTAATTAGTAGCAGTATGTTCAGAAAGAACTATGCATCTGAGTTTTATGAAAATACTTCTAGATCTAGTTCCTTCTTTCAAACACAGCCGTGGATTTTGTGTTACACATATTTCCCTGTCTATACATGTAAATGCCATAACAAGG